AGAAGATTTTTGAAATTTTAGTCAATTTGACCCTTTTTGGCCCCGCCCCTCAGGCCCCTGGGGGCTTAGGACTAAACCGGCAACTATTTTTGTTGACCTTTGTCCATGGAAGGTCCCTGCAAAATTTCATTGAAATTGGTTCAGGGGTTTCGGAGAAGAAGTCGAAAATGTAAATTGTTTACGGACGGACGACGGACGACGGACGACGACGGACAAAAGGCGATCGCAATAGGTCACTTGAGACTTTGTCTCAGGTGACCTAAAAATACAGGTACTGACCATTAATGAGGGAGATACCAAATATATCTAACCCAACAAGTGTGCACAAATTTATATATGTGTGATATCCTCATAAATAAAATAACTGGTTCTCCAGGGAAGTTAGGTCTTATCATTGTAGAAGGTGCATAATCATTGGTGTCTATATGGGAAGTAGGAGTTGGAGTAGAGAACATGGCAGAGAGACCTGACATTCTACCATTTGAACAGTCATCTGCATGTTACAGGTACATTCAGTGTTATAGATGCAGTATTGTCAGATTTCACAATGCAGTTCATATGTTAAAAATCCTTAGCTTCATAATAAAAATGTGTAATCTCTAAAAATGGGATAATTTCAAAACAATTGAATCACTAAAAAAACATTCTTCTGAAATCATGAATCATTTGTTTAAAAGAACAAACAGTTCACAATTCTTTAATCCCGATCCCCTGTTATTTTGTTATTGCTTCCTAAGTTTCATTCCCTTTTTGTACATTAAAGATAAAAACCATGCAAATTTGTATATAAAGCACTGAACATTTTTTAATAAACAGCAATTTAATAAAGCCACATGTCCTAACATTTATCTTCGAAAACGCTTTAAATACAATTAATTTTACCAAGGCATGCACTTTATTTAGCTGAAAGGGTTTTATAAAAATATACATTTTTTGGTACTTCATGCAATATTCTCAAAAATCTACAAATTTCATGTCTTCTTTTTTTTTGATAAATTTAAAGAAAATTGGGAAGAAAGTTTAATTAAGAAAAAAAATCTACCTGTGTTTTAAAGTATTAATTATTCAATTAAAAAACATGCACAAAATGTGTTAGCTAGCTACTTCAACTAGAATGTATATATATCTATTACAAAATGTGCGAGTCATAAAATCTATATTCATTATCGATACACTACTTAAAACTTACAGAATTAAAGAACATTGTAAACACATCTTATAAGTGTATTGCCAAGACAATTGTTATTCTATATTTGAGGCAGGTTAGGAGTGGTATTATCATGATAACAGATAAAATACTGGACACAATATTTTCCAGGCACTATCTGCATTCAATATGGAGGAATGAAGCTGCAAAAAAAACTGATGCACACAAACTGATGACATATCAACCACAAAAGCTGATGACATCATCACATTTTGCCGTCTACAACACAATTTATTGTTACTATGGTGACAATATGGAAATTGTTCCCGCAAGAAATGAATAAATCATATTGTAAAAGATATTAATGTAAATGATAAAAATAGTATATATGGGAGGTTGCTATGGATACAAGTATGTACAAATTTCATGCAAGGAATGTAGTTCATTCCCCAGTCTGATTGGCTTTGTAACTTAATTCACTTCTAAACAGAGCATGACACATAATCAGGTTTGAAACCTTAACTTGAGGGATTCTTTCCATCCTAGATTTTCTTGGCTGGCCTTCATTCTCAAATTTTCATATGACATTATAACCTGAGTTTTCTGAAACTTTTATTTTGAAACGAGGATATAGAAAGTCAGTAACAAAAATTTGAACCATAAAATCATTATGACGCTTCTATTACATTATGGCATATAATCTTTATAATATAGATTAAATTTCGAAAGCATCATAAGAGGTTTTTGTCCAAATATTTTATCATAATAACAAGCAAGCGTAATTGATTTTTTGATTTTGAGAAACATGACACAGAAGCATGCGAATCTGATTGGATTGTAACATCATATGCAGTAGTGATAGTAACACGAAACTGATCTTGACGGTATACGAGGTTCATATCCAAACTTATCAACCTTTGAGTTAGCTACATATCCAAACCTTACAATGAGCCAATCAAACAAGGAGCACCATGTGTGTGTCTGAAACTGGTGAATAAAGGGAGATAAATATAAAAACACTGATACATTCAAACTAGAGACGGAGTCATGCATGACATGCGCCCCCTGGTGGCGGGCTTGTACCTCTGCCTGAGTCTCAGGGTCATTTTGGGTACCGTCGGGAAAATATTCGGCTAGGTCTGTGACGGGTGAGGGAGTTTCTTCAGGGATTTTCTTCAATACGTCACCCTATCATGGATCATATCACAGGAATGAAATCCAAGCCAGAGTTATCTTTCCTTTGATAACCACTCGAACAATTCTTACAGTAGAGCAAATCAATTCAGTACCTTTCAACTTGTTAAATGTTTAATATACTTCCTATCAAAAGAATAATTTGAAACGATGTTTACATTTGAAAGTCACCTTTTCCATTTCTCCTTAAATCTTTTCAGAAAAAAAAATTGAATTCATTTTTTTTTTAATTCAATGCAACTTATTATGTCTAGCTGGATGAAACAAAATCAATTTCTGATCATTTCAGATCATTCTTAGTTTTCAACATCTATTATATTTAGCAATATCAATATATAATTAATAGTTTTCGTTTGCTTAATTAATAAAGTCTTTGATTATATTTCATAATAAATTTGATATCTACACAAAACCTTTGAAAAAACTTCCCATTACAACTTTAAAATTAAAAACAGTTTAGTAAAAAATAAATCAAAAATGATCATCATATTTTTCAGTAATAAAGATATTCAAAAACCATTTCGTGTCTGCTAACTAATCCGGTATGAAATCTGGCAGGTGCATAGCAGTTTTTCTATCTACATTACAGTATACAATATACAAGGTTGTACTACAGTGTCGGAAAGTTTTGCCTAGGCATGAGCTCCAAAGTCTGGCCCCACGTTCTATAGACAGCAAAAATTAAAGTCAAAATTAAAAAAAAAAAAAAAAAGGAAATTATATTTTGAAAAGCACAGCATAATTAAAGTTTTAAAAGCAAACATAAAAGCAGTTATTATGGAAAAAAAAACAAGTGAAAAATCCATCAACCAAATAATGAAGAAAAGGTTCTTAAAAGCAGATGATTGTTGCTGATAATGATTTTCTGAGATATTGGGAATAATTCGAAATAACAATATTTATAATTTACTGACATTTAAAGTTTTCTATTTCTGCTTTAGTACTTTACCACAACCAAAAAATATTCTTTCGCACAATTATTCAGCATTTACGGAAGGAATGGAAACACAAAAATTAAGCTGAAATGTTGATAATCAAAATACAGAAACCTTTTGAGAATTCTATCAACAAATATTTCATTGCTAATATGAATTTTACAGAGCGTTTTCAACAAAAATACAATTTTTACTGAATAATTCCCAATATTTATCAGTTCGATAATTACCCCAGATGAATGAAAATCTGTTAAGGACACTTACAACAATAACAAGATATCTTCCTGGGTCACGCGCCATCTTTGCGAACTCTTCTGCCAGCTCTATAAATGAAGGACGACTATCTGCATCTAACATCCAACCTTAAAACAGAACAAATATTGGAATAAATATTAAAAGAAAAATGTAAGTAAATTTCTCTTTAACTTTCAGTATTAAGACAAGATGGACAAGTTTCATATACTCATTATTCGTCCAGTTATTTTTTTTAATCATGTTCCAAATATGTAATTTTACAAGATATAAAATATTGCAAGCAAATTATATGGTAGGAAGAGAAGGCATCTTATTATGAAAAGTCTAAAACCAATTACAAAATAATCTAATTTGTATAATCCACAATAGTAGGGCCTGTGACTGCATGAAACTATTCTTATACTCAAGCACGACTTTTGTGTGTCTCCGAATTGAAAACAACTAATTTGGATGACTCAATCACATGTACATAGAATTCAGACATGAACATCTGCCAAGGCTATACAAACATTTTCTTCCTGACATTACTAAAGCCAGAAAGGGACCAACAAGCTTACATTTGATCATGATCATGTAGACGTCAATAAAGCCAGAAAGGGACAAACAAGCTTACATTTGATCATGCTCATGTAGACGTCAATAAAGCCAGAAAGGGCCAACAAGCTTACATTTGATCATGATCATGTAGACATCAATAAAGCCAGAAAGGGACAAACAAGCTTACATTTGATCATGCTCATGTAGACATCAACAAAGCCAGAAAGGGACAAACAAGATTACATTTGATCATGCTCATGTAGACGTCAATCAAGCCAGAAAGGGACAAACAAGATTACATTTGATCATGCTCATGTATACGTCAATAAAGCCAGAAAGGGACAAACAAGCTTACATTTGATCATGATCATGTAGACGTCAATGGTACAGATATGTGGCTGTGGGAGTCGTTCCCCCTTCTCTAGCAGATCCGGTACATCACGTGCACGGACATTCTCATACGGTCGCTGTCCGTATGTAAATAGTTCCCACACCGTAACACCTACAAGTCAAGGTTACTCAATGTGAGATAAACAACATCGGAGGTAAAACTTTAGGAACCATATTAAAAAGAGTAAACTTTGCTAATACTTTTCAGGACCCGACAACACATTTTAGCATTTTTGGTCCATTTTCAAAGAAAACAAAATTAACTAATTCTTCGAAAGCCAAACTGTACTTTTTATTAATCTCATTTTTTTAAATGTTGCGATAATGTTTTTTTCTTTGGAAATTCTCCAATCCCTAATAAACTAAGTAACATTATTAACAAATAAGAACAATGGAGTATATTGTCCTTTATAAAGTAAAGGAAAACTAGTATCTCTGCCCTATATTTGAAATGTTTCTCCTTTTATTAATTAAAAGTTAAAAGATAATTTTCATCAAATTATGTAAAAAGATATCCATATCAGCATCATTACCGTAGCTCCAGACGTCACTCTTGTGAGTAAATATTCTATGCTGGATGCACTCAAGAGCCAGCCATTTGATGGGCATCTACAGCAGAAGGCAATACAGAATTTAGTATATAAATTCAAACTTAAAGTATGCATTTGATAATAATCAAATATACCATTGTTTTGATTTAATCAAATGAAATACAATTAAGTATTATCCTATATTTGTAAATACACCTTACATCCAGCAGATTTAATATTTACAGTTATACAAATTGGTGTATTTTAAAGATTTATTGGAAATAGAAACTAATTCCACTGTCTCATTGACTTGCTTTTTGAAAAGTATTTAATGTATATTCAACAGATTTCAGAACACCATTATATTACTCTCACAAAATTGTTACTGAAAAAACACAAATGAACCAGTCTGTTATTGGTCAAATACAGAAAATATTAAGTTGTCACTCACAATAAAAATAAATGTTATACAAGTAAGAGTTGTCTACCTTTCCTCCTGCTGCGTGGTACTCGTCCTCGTTATAATCCAGGAGTTTGGCCAAACCAAAATCTGTTATCTTAACCTGGCCAGGACTTTGTACTAAAATCAATCATAACACAATCATGGTTTTAAATTGAACTGCACCATTATGAAAATTACAGCAATTAAAAATGTTCAGTTAATTTGATTTTTTATGTCCCTGATAAACCTGATCATTTGTTAATAACTGTTTATCACATAATGTACTGTGAATATACCCATGTCATATCTTTTTGCGTATTAATCCATGTAATATGACCTATAGCTGTCAGCCCTGTGATTGGTTGAAAGTTTCAATTGTGACGTCAAGCCTAGGACAAGTACATGACATCACAGACTTATGCACTGGAGTCAAAATGGTGGCTTTTTACATTTCAAGGTTGCATGAAAATTGTTGATTTACTTGAATAAATGCCACAAATCTTGATTATGTGATATAATGGATCTTACACTCGTTTCCATTTCATATGAAATTTATGAAACTCGTCAAGAATTTTTCATTTTAGCTCGCCAGAGGCTAGCTAAATTGAAAATTTCTTAGACTCGTTTCATAAATCTCATATGAAATGGAAACTCATGGAAGATTCTATGTATAAGAAGAAAACTGACCTAATACATTTCTGGCGGCCAAGTCCCTGTGAACTACATCTCTCTCCTCCAAGTAGGCCATTCCCTGGAAGGGGAAACACAATATTGTAGATAGTCAAACAAAACCGTCAAATAAGACGATATTGAAGTTGTTGGGACCATACTTTATTTTTAAAGAACAAGCTGTATGTGATACAAAAATAAAGTAAAACATCTATAACACGAACATAAGTATTTACATCAAGGGTTGCTGCAAGTTAAACATCATCTACATACAACTATTTGTGGACCCTGGAGTTCTGTGGTCTGACAAAAGAGGCCCTCCCTCCGAGAGTTGAACCTACACCTAACAGTTCACTGGTATTCAAATGCTGTGCAATGCTGTAGGCCTCACACCTGACTGTGGCCAGCCAGACAATCTCTTGCCAGGGACAATATTGTTAGTTAACAGGTTTCATTAATAAATTAGACAAAACAAACATATCATTACAGGATGAAAGCAAAAGTTTGTGCTAAGTACAATTTAAACTCCCTGAAATTACTTTTGCTATTTGTTCGACTCAATTCTGCTAAAAGGAAAAAAGTTCTTAGCAAGGGGCATAACTCTTGTAGAACACTGACAATATATACAAAGTGAGACAACTCAAACATTTATGTACCTTTGCAATCTGTGTACACCAATTGAGAAGGACCTTTGAGCCTATGTTTTCCTTGTGTTTGCGGACGTAGTCAAGTAAACAACCGAGAGGCATGAGCTGGGTGATCAGCATCATCTGAGCTGTCATACAGGCAGCGAGGATCCGGATACAGCAGGGATGGTCAACAGAGGCCATCACACGAGCCTCGTCGAGGAGTTCCTGGTTCTGATTGGCCGATGTTCCCTCCTGGAGGACCTTGATGGCCACTGGGATCTTAACGTTGTCCTTGGCCGGGATCCAGAATCCCTAAGAAAGACAGGTACAATGCAACAATTTCCTTTATTTTTCATTCTGCATTTTGTCTTTTTACATGAATATTGAGATACAAAAACAAAAAAACATAACATTTTTATCAGCGTATAATTATGGTCCAAAGATGTAAACTTATAGAAACTTTACAAAAGAAATTCATTTTCGGTTAACTAAACATTTACCTTGTTAATATAGAAGAAATTTAACAGAAAGACAGGCATCTTTTCATATTTTTGAGATAGGGAGAAGCCATTTTACATACCTTGTACACTGTTCCAAATGCTCCAGAGCCAATGATCCCTCCCTTACGCATGTCTGATTCTTTAATAAGGCGTAGATGAGACATGTCAGGTTTCGCACTGGTTGGTGTCACAGGTTGCTACGGAAACAAAAAAAATATTCTCAGCTTTGATCACAGTCTTCTGCAGTCATCAATAATACCATTATCATATTATATCAATTACTTTTATGACTTGTTTATTTTACACATTAGAAATCATTTAGCAGCTTCACAAATATTCATCTATGTTACCTCATCATCATAGCCAGTCATCTTGGCAGTCAGCATAGCTGTTTTCTCCTTTGAGCGTGCTTGCTGTCGCCAATAGTAACCAAACAGGGCAAGGAGAATAGCCACAAGGATGATTCCTCCAATTACTGGTCCTGCAATCACGGCTATCTTCTTCTTTTCTTCCCTGTCATTTACACAATCATATAATTAGAACTGTCATGTATTTAAACAACTATCACCTTGATACAACCAACATGTCAGTTACAACAACTATCATGTCAGTTACAACAACTATCATGTCATTACAACAACTATCATGTAATTAAAACAATTATCATGTAACAACAAAAACTATCATGTAATTAAAACAACAAATATCATGTCACTACAACAACTATCATCTAATTAAAACAAAAACTGTTATGTCATTACAACAACAATCATGTCATTACAACAACTATCATGGCATTACAACAACTAGCATGTCATTACAACTATATCTTGTAATTACAACAACCACTATCATGTCATTACAACAATATCTTGTAATTACAACAACAACTATAATGTCATTACAACAACAACTATTATGTCATTAAAACAACTATCATGTCATTAAAACAACAACTATCATGTCATTAAAACAACAACTATCATGTCATTAAAACAACAACTATCATGTCATTACGACAACTATCATGTCATTACTACAACTAGCATGTCATTACAAAACAACTATCATGTCATTACAACAATAACTATCATGTCATTACTACAACTATCATGTCATTACAAAACAACTATCATGTCATTACAACAACAACTATCATGTCATTACAACAACAACTATCATGTCATTACAACAACTATCATGGCATTACAACAACTATCATGTCATTACAACAACTATCTTGTAATTATAACAACAACTATCCTGTCATTACAACAACTATCATGTCATTACAACAACTATCATGTAATTAAAACAACTATCATGTAATTACAACAACTATCATGGCATTACAACGACTATCATGTAATTACCACAACTATCATGCAATTACAACATTATCATGTAATTAAAACATCAGTCATCTAATAAGACAACTATTATATAATTAGAACTATCACATGATTACAGCAACCGTCATGTAGCTGCTGCTGTATTTTATAATATAAGTTAAAAAAAATACCCATAAGTTAGTTTAACAAAGATTGGTTACTTACTCGGCATCTGCGGCCATTCTAGCCATAACCATAGGGTGGTCATCTCGTGCACAAACAGTCATCCCGTTCTTCGTGTCATGTTCGTCCTTGACCAGATGGGGCATGTCAGTTGGACACTCAGATGTACAGTTAAACTGAAGCACAAAAGGTCATTACAAGGTCAGTGAAATAAACCACGCATAAATTACCCCCCTGATATAATAAAGGCAGTGAAATAAACCAGGTGTAAATACCCCCTGATATAATAAAGGCAGTGAAATAAGCCAGGTGTAAATTGCCCCCTGATATAATAAAGGCAGTGAAATAAACCAGTGTAAATTACCCCATGATATAATAAAGGCAGTGAAATAAATCAGGTGTAAATTACCCCATGATATAATAAAGGCAGTGAAATAAACCAGTGTAAATTACCCCCTGATATAATAAAGGCAGTGAAATAAATCAGGTGTAAATTACCCCATGATATAATAAAGGCAGTGAAATAAACCAGT